AGCTCCACCAACAGGAGGTGGTCCACCTCCACCACCAGGTCTTATCGGAGCTTTTGCTGGTGCCCCTGCTGGTAGAAAGGTATGATCAATTAGACAACAAGTAACCATCCAAACAAGTGAATGACTTCATTTCTTAGGTAGGTGGAAAATCCCTGAGGTCTCTGGGCGAGGACGACGAGCAAGACGAATGGGTAAGTTTTCGGCATAATAATTTTCGATACTGTTCAATAACTTATTCCGCAGAGCTTATACCGTACCGCGATCACAAATGCGACATTCATTCTCAGCTTCCAACGCCATTTGTCACTAAACTGGCGCCACCACTCTTCTTAGTATTGAAACCATGAACTCCAATGCGAGGGTAGTTGAGCGGTTAGGCGGGTATAAAATGTTGCCCGGCGCCGGCTCCTTTTGGTGGTCTGCTCAGGCAGTGCCCAAAGGAAGAACGCACCCCCGAAAAGCATCCTCGTGAAAACACAACGCGGTGATGTGCGAATTAGCCGCTCGAGAGGTCGTCATTGTCCTTGAGAAAATTTTGTTTGTATTTAGTCTTTTTGGCAGCGTGTACTATGGTTGGACGTATTATCGGTCGTGAGGCGTGGATGTTAGGTACGTATGGCGTTTCGAATGGGAGGCGGGGATATAAGGAACGTCAGGGTCCCACAAGCGTCCAGCCACATTGTCAGACCTTTTCGAGTGACGCAAGCGCTATACATCAATTGCCACCTGCTCACCTCGCGCACGCCAGAAGGTTCACCTCTTAAGGTAGTCGTCCTACGACTCCCTGAAGAACCGCCTAAACACCTCAGAGTTTCCGTTACAGAGTCGGAGCACTAAAAGTCCGGAAACGTTCACTTCGATCGTAGATGAGACAAGTGAGCAGGATATGGACTACAGCCTAGGAAGACGGCAATCCGAGACAGAATCCCAGCTGAGCGCCATGGAAGAATTACAAGCGCAGGTTCTACGAATGATAACGTCATAGCCCAACATCGGTACATTACTGTACGCTACCGTATACACTATATTTTATCGTATTGAACTCTTTCAAAAATTGTTGTTCCACTGTCCATTACGATATTTGTTTGTACAGAGATACTAATAAAGTTGTTTATCCTATTAACAGAAAGAAAAACAAATAAAAACCTGAAAGTAAAAATACAAGCAAATGACTACTTACAGACACTGTATGCTACCGTATCCAGCCGTTTTCCAGCTTTCACACAGTCGCCAAACCAGTTTTCTTCAATAAATATACAGCCATCGGGAAAAAGCTCTCGGAACTTCGAGAATAATTCCGGGTTGTCCTTGGTTTCTTGCGGAACAATGGCATGGGTGGTGTCGGTTAGCTCGGCTTCTTCGCTCACCACGTAGCCTCCATTCTTCGCGATAAGATCACTGGAACACATAGACTTTCGTCATTCCAAGATTAAAGGAAGTAGGCACGAT